AAATGCCACTATACAACAGGAGTAGCCAAACTTCAGCCCTCCAGCGGTGGTGTAACCACAAATCCCATTATACGTCTGCCTCTGGGAGTCATGTATGCAGCAGCCAGAATCTTGCAACGCCTAATGGGATTTGCAGTTTAACCACAGCTGGAGGGCCAAAGTTTGGCTACCCCCGTTCTATAGTATTATTATTATACAGGATTTATACAGCACCAACAGTTTGCGCAGCGCTTTACAATACAAGGAAGACATTACAAATCACAATTCAATTCAAGACAAGATGGTCTATAGTATTTCCTTTTGCTCCTCTCCCAGCAGGTATATAAAAAGGTTATGTAAGGAGGAGATGGGAAGTACAAAGGTGCTGGGCCAGCATAGACAGTAATTAGACACAACCATTAGAGGAGAGGGCTATGACGTAAGAGGAGGGAGGGGGGTGTGGTAGGACTTCCTGGAGTGGTCATATTTGAAGTAAATAAAAACATTTATGGAAAGGAGGAACATTACAGGTAAGCATTTTAAAAAATAGATTTTTTTGAGCTTTTACCTGCAATGGTTCAAGTTGGTGACAGGCTCTCTTTAACTGCTTTGTAAATGCTGGATGAACCGGATGCTCATCTGATTAGCTGGCTCTTAGAACTTTAAGACTGGAAAAGGCTGAGAGATTCCCTTTAATAGTTCCATGTGTAAAATTGTGGCTTAAATGCTGCAAGCTCATTTTGTTTTTACTACAACATTGCCACTAAGTAGTACCTGCCCTGTTAGTGATTAACCAAATTATACAGGTATTATGTGCTATACTTAATGTTGGGACTACTTAATAATGGGACGCTCCGGTGTAAAGACGCCAATAGTAATCTAGAGCGGAAGAAGGCGCCAGGACCACATTTTTCAAGTGGAACAGTCACTGTGCCCATTCAGGTTATTTATTGCACCTTGCCCATATCTGCTCCGGACACATCTACAAGTGGAAAGCAATGTGAAAGCTTCATGTCAGTGTTTGTCAAAGCTTACACAGAGCTAAGGATACCCCACCACATTTAAAAAGGACAGTGCTTGGGCCTAACAATTGCCCACTTAGGCACAATGCACTGTACCATAGGTGAAAGGGAAAGTCACATGCTCTCCCAAACCCTGAAATATGGTATACAGCTGATGAACAGGGCACCACAAAGAAGTCTTAGTAACAAAGTATAGGAGATACAAAGAAACCCTGGATACAATGGGTTTACTTTAAGGGAACCTGTCATGATGGTTCAGGGATGTGGAATAGGTATCGCCAGGCGGGTAGTTTTCTTCTACATTTAGCCCTGCTGCGGGCTAGCAGGGCTAAATGTAGATCGGGGGAGCCGCCGCTCATTTAGTACATGTATAAAACGAGGAGTGATCTTGCCCCTCCGCCATGGTTTTCGGGGGTTCCCACTTCTGGGGGACCCGGGACCACAGCAAATGAGCTCAGGATAGAGAGCGGGGAGCAGAGCGAAGAATGTCCGTTCTCCGCTCTCTGTGATCAGCGAGACCGGAGAGGTGTAATCACAGCGCCACCTATATCAGCTGTCAGAAACTGCACAGAAGATCTGTTCTGTGTTCCATAAAGAGAACCTGTCACCTCCAAACTATCACATAGGGCTTGTAAGCCCCTGTGTGATAGGAATAAAATTAAGTGAAAAAAATTAAAGTAAAATATTATAGAATTAAAGTGTGGAATTCCTATCGCCCGACGCACGGGACATGCAGTTTCGGGCGCCGGGGCGAACAGTTTTTATGTACATTTAGCCCAGCTCCGGACAAGCAGAGCTAAATGTACATTGTGGAGCCGCCACCGCTCGTTTAGTACAAGTGATCTGATCAGACCACTTGATCAATTTGAGCAGCGGCGATCGTTTCTGCCCGAAACCCCAATTAGTATTCAGTGTCGGCGAGATCTGAAAGCAAAAAAATCGGTACTCGTACTTGATACCGAAAAACCGGTACTGGTGCATCCCTAGTTTTGATTAAAACTATTTTTTTGTATTGGGACAAGTAGATTGTCATGAAGGACAAGTAGATTTGGGCCCCCCTTTAGCCCTTGGAGAAGTAGTTTTTTTTTTTGTTTTTTTTATTTCCACACCCCTGATATATATACATATACATAAATATACACACAAACACAACCCTGCCGCCCCCACCATCTGCATGCAAATAAACGTACGTGTAGGACACTTTGTGCTGCCGCCATTCCACTGTGTGCCATATATTGTGGTAGCCAGGCAGCAGCTCTCTCCTACAGGCACAATGTGCATTAAAGGGTAAGTTCACTTTCCCAGGTAATTTGGGAAAATGGAATTACCTGCTCAAATATGGCCCCGTTCCTCGTCTCCTGCCCCCCACCGCCACCACCCCTATACTTGCCTTTTGGCAACATCACAGCAAGAGACACGAGACCACAAGCAAAAGGCATGAGACCACAGCTAGGTAATCTGGCATTGATAAAAGAAACCTGTGCTTGGGGATAAATGTAATCTGCCATTAGTGATCCTCCAGAATTCTTTCTACATTACTTCTGAAAATGCTAACTATCTGGCCATCTCTAGCTTTAAGGCAATGTCAAGGATCCTGAACAAGCATTTCCATCAGGAAAGTGAGTGAAGTCAAAACTCACAATCTGCCTGCCTATTTATGAGGGCCCTAGATCAGCGAGACAAGCTGGAACTGTCATTTACAATGGCAGACTACACTCTTCTACCAATACTCTCAATTGTGGGCCTAGCTCCCTGGACTGACCCCTACAGCGCATCCTCTCAATTGTGGGCCTTGGTCCCTGGACTGAACCCTGCACTGCATCCTCTCAATTGTGGGCCTAGTTCCCTGGACTGAACCCTGCACTGCATCCTCTCAATTGTGGGCCTTGGTCCCTGGACTGAACCCTGCACTGCATCCTCTCAATTGTGGGCCTTAGTCCCTGGACTGAACCCTGCACTGCATCCTCTCAATTGTGGGCCTTGGTCCCTCGACTGAATCTTGCACTGCATCCTCTCAATTGTGGGCCTTAGTCCCTGGACTGAATCTTGCAGTACATCCCATCAACTGTGGGCCTTGATCCATGGACAGAATCTTGCAGTGCATCCTCTCAATTGTGGGCCTTGGTCCCTGGACTGAATCTTGCACTGCAGCCTCTCAATTGTGGGCCTTGGTCCCTGGACTGAACCTTACAGTGCATCCTCTCAATTGTGGGCCTAGCTCCCTGGACCGAACCTTGCACTGCATTCTCTCAATTGTGGGCCTTGGTCCCTGGACTGAACCTTGCACTGCATCCTCTCAATTGTGGGCCTAGCTCCCTGGACTGAATCTTGCACTGCATCCTCTCAATTGTGGGCCTTGGACTAAACCCTGCAGTGCATCCCTGTATAGTTATCATGAAAGTCTTACACTTAAGACTGTGACACACTGCATGCAAAGCAGTGGTGCGTGGACCTTCACGTGCAGTGTGTCATGTTATTTTCACTCTGGCACATCAGCTCCCTATAAACACCTGCATCACAATGCGAAGTCCATTTGGTTGTTATGTGCGAGTCGATTGGCTGAAGATGCAGTCTTTATCTGGCCACGCTCCACTCACACACTGCATTCAAACCTCTGTGCCTAGCAGCTTGGCTCTGCACAGCTTCACATGCAGTGTGTCACGGGCTTTACACGTGGGAGCCCCACAGCTACCGTTACAGAAGTCCCCTGGCTGGACTACATTTCTCTTCCTCGACAGTGAACGGCCTTCCTATAGGAATGAATGGAGATTGCAGCATACATGTGCAAAGAAGAAGAGTGTGGTCAGGAGACACCTGAGGTGGTGGCTGTGCAGCCCCGGTGGACTGATCAAAGATCCATGGAGGAGCAAGGAGAGCCAAGTGTAAGACCCGGGGATGGGGTGCTTTTAAAGGGACCCTGTCATGAGAAAGACACAAGGCTGCCTTGTCCTTAGAGAATGTTAGTTCCCTGTCTGTCATGCTGATGCCTTGGCTTCAATGCTGTCTGAGTCTCTGACCTGAAACAAGTATGGAGAGAAGAAATTGATTGACACTGAACAGACAGCAAAAACTAAACGTAGGATTAGAACCAGTTCTTGCTCTACCCCAAACTAAAAAAGAAAAACAATATTTCAACCTTAAATACATGGCAGCTGCCTCTGCTGACCTCTCCTGGCCATCATGCTGATCCAATTGGCTTTGATGACTAAGTCTCTGACCTATAACTTTCCTCTGAGAGATCGGTATAAATAAGCAGCTAGTATTTCTATCAGTTCCGCTATAGCTGAAGGTAAAACCCAATTTCTGCCAAGACTTCTAAAGGAGAAGGTAAAAACCTGAACTTGTGCCAAGTGTATGGTGCGCCCTCATTGGTGAGGATTTCCTTTACTCCCTGTCCTGGTGACACCACAACAAGTATTGCTCTGTTAGCCTACAAGTGAAAGGTGACCACTTCCTGTTCTAGTGACACCACTACAGGACATGACAGTACTTCTCCCCAATCGGGACTCAGCAATAATAACATGGCAGAAGTACTAACCCTCCCCCCATGCACACATTTCAATCAGTTTAGACTCGTGTTGGGCTTTCACTGAACCCTCAGACAAGACAGTGAGAGACCACATTGTGAAATGATGACACACAACAATACACACACCGTCCATGTCTCTGATCACCCCGTACAGCCTCGCTGTCAGTGTGATGACGCCAGCCAGGTGAATCACAGTGCAGAGTCAGTGATGGAAGAGAGCCAGAGACCGGCCGGCACAGTGGGCCCCCCTCCCTCGGTACGGCTCCCCGCAAACACTGCCTTCCCCAGGCCGCACGTCTTACCCCCTATCTCAGATGGCGGCACTGAGACCACCGGCGGCCAGCTGGACGTCAGCTTCACACATACACAGCCATTATCCGAAAACACAGGTCAGGTCCCCCCCGGTCTCCGCCTCCCAACCGGGAACACCACACACCCGCATCCCGGCACGGCACAACTCCCGCACTTACAATTCCTTGATTAACACCATTCTCCGCAGCGACCGCCGCAGCTCCTGTGCGGCACCGACGTCACACGACGCTTTCCGGGACAGGGGACGCTGCGCCGCGACACGCCCTCCCTTCGCACGAAACCACGCCCCGTCGCCTTTTTCATTGGTCACAGATCACGGCTAGAGCGCAGAGCTCCGCCTAGCGATTCATCAAGCCGCGCCCGTAAGACGCTGATTTGTTAGAACGCTGACATCTGTCAGAGCTGTGGTGTGCCTACTGTGTGCCTTTACGTTGTCTACTGTGTGCCCTTACTGTGTGCCGCTACTGTGTGCCCCTACTGCGTGCCGCTACTGTGTGCCCCTACTGCGTGCCGCTACTGTGTGCACTTACTGCGTGCCCCCTAATGTGTGCCCCTACTGCGTGCCCCCTACTGCATTCCCTTACTGTGTGCCGCTATTGTGTGGCCCCTACTGCGTGCCCCTACTGTGTGACGGGCACTGTACAGCCTATTGTGTTCACTGGTCCACACTGCAACCGTGGGGAGCTTGTCCCTCGACGTGTGCACGGTAGTGCTGACCGCCTGTGTCATACGTCCCTCTCCTCTGACCGCCTGTTTCATACGTCCCTCTCCTCTGACCGCCTGTGTCATACGTCCCTCTCCTCTGGTCATACGTCCCTCTCCTCTGACCGCCTGTATCATACGTCCCTCTCCTCTGACCGTCTGTGTCATACGTCCCTTTCCTCTGACCGCCTGTGTCATACTTCCCTCTCCTCTGACCGTCTGTGTCATACGTCCCTCTCCTCTGACCGCCTGTGTCATACGTCTCTCTCCTCTGACCGCCTGTGTCATACGTCTCTCTCCTCTGACCGCCTGTGTCATACGTCTCTCTCCTCTGACCGCCTGTGTCATACGTCTCTCTCCTCTGACCGCCTGTGTCATACGTCTCTCTCCTCTGACCGCCTGTGTCATACGTCTCTCTCCTCTGACCGCCTGTGTCATACGTCTCTCTCCTCTGACCGCCTGTGTCATACGTCTCTCTCCTCTGACCGCCTGTGTCATACGTCTCTCTCCTCTGACCGCCTGTGTCATACGTCTCTCTCCTCTGACCGCCTGTGTCATACGTCTCTCTCCTCTGACCGCCTGTGTCATACGTCTCTCTCCTCTGACCGCCTGTGTCATACGTCTCTCTCCTCTGACCGCCTGTGTCATACGTCTCTCTCCTCTGACCGCCTGTGTCATACGTCTCTCTCCTCTGACCGCCTGTGTCATACGTCTCTCTCCTCTGACCGCCTGTGTCATACGTCTCTCTCCTCTGACCGCCTGTGTCATACGTCTCTCTCCTCTGACCGCCTGTGTCATACGTCTCTCTCCTCTGACCGCCTGTGTCATACGTCTCTCTCCTCTGACCGCCTGTGTCATACGTCTCTCTCCTCTGACCGCCTGTGTCATACGTCTCTCTCCTCTGACCGCCTGTGTCATACGTCTCTCTCCTCTGACCGCCTGTGTCATACGTCTCTCTCCTCTGACCGCCTGTGTCATACGTCTCTCTCCTCTGACCGCCTGTGTCATACGTCTCTCTCCTCTGACCGCCTGTGTCATACGTCTCTCTCCTCTGACCGCCTGTGTCATACGTCTCTCTCCTCTGACCGCCTGTGTCATACGTCTCTCTCCTCTGACCGCCTGTGTCATACGTCTCTCTCCTCTGACCGCCTGTGTCATACGTCTCTCTCCTCTGACCGCCTGTGTCATACGTCTCTCTCCTCTGACCGCCTGTGTCATACGTCTCTCTCCTCTGACCGCCTGTGTCATACGTCTCTCTCCTCTGACCGCCTGTGTCATACGTCTCTCTCCTCTGACCGCCTGTGTCATACGTCTCTCTCCTCTGACCGCCTGTGTCATACGTCTCTCTCCTCTGACCGCCTGTGTCATACGTCTCTCTCCTCTGACCGCCTGTGTCATACGTCTCTCTCCTCTGACCGCCTGTGTCATACGTCTCTCTCCTCTGACCGCCTGTGTCATACGTCTCTCTCCTCTGACCGCCTGTGTCATACGTCTCTCTCCTCTGACCGCCTGTGTCATACGTCTCTCTCCTCTGACCGCCTGTGTCATACGTCTCTCTCCTCTGACCGCCTGTGTCATACGTCTCTCTCCTCTGACCGCCTGTGTCATACGTCTCTCTCCTCTGACCGCCTGTGTCATACGTCTCTCTCCTCTGACCGCCTGTGTCATACGTCTCTCTCCTCTGACCGCCTGTGTCATACGTCTCTCTCCTCTGACCGCCTGTGTCATACGTCTCTCTCCTCTGACCGCCTGTGTCATACGTCTCTCTCCTCTGACCGCCTGTGTCATACGTCTCTCTCCTCTGACCGCCTGTGTCATACGTCTCTCTCCTCTGACCGCCTGTGTCATACGTCTCTCTCCTCTGACCGCCTGTGTCATACGTCTCTCTCCTCTGACCGCCTGTGTCATACGTCTCTCTCCTCTGACCGCCTGTGTCATACGTCTCTCTCCTCTGACCGCCTGTGTCATACGTCTCTCTCCTCTGACCGCCTGTGTCATACGTCTCTCTCCTCTGACCGCCTGTGTCATACGTCTCTCTCCTCTGACCGCCTGTGTCATACGTCTCTCTCCTCTGACCGCCTGTGTCATACGTCTCTCTCCTCTGACCGCCTGTGTCATACGTCTCTCTCCTCTGACCGCCTGTGTCATACGTCTCTCTCCTCTGACCGCCTGTGTCATACGTCTCTCTCCTCTGACCGCCTGTGTCATACGTCTCTCTCCTCTGACCGCCTGTGTCATACGTCTCTCTCCTCTGACCGCCTGTGTCATACGTCTCTCTCCTCTGACCGCCTGTGTCATACGTCCCTCTCCTCTGACCGTCTGTGTCATACGTCCCTCATCTCTGACCGTCTGTGTCATACGTCTCTCTCCTCTGACCGTCTGTGTCATACATCCCGATTTCTGACTGCCTGTGTCATACGTCCCTCTCCTCTGACCGCCTGTGTCATACGTCTCTCTCCTCTGACCGCCTGTGTCATACGTCCCTCTCCTCTGACCGTCTGTGTCATTCGTCCCTCATCTCTGACCGTCTGTGTCATACGTCCCTCTCCTCTGACCGTCTGTGTCATACGTCCCGATCCTCTGACTGCCTGTGCCATACGTCCCTCTCCTCTGACCGCCTGTGTCATACGTCTCTCTCCTCTGACCGCCTGTGTCATACGTCCCTCTCCTCTGACCGTCTGTGTCATTCGTCCCTCATCTCTGACCGTCTGTGTCATACGTCCCTCTCCTCTGACCGTCTGTGTCATACGTCCCGATCCTCTGACTGCCTGTGCCATACGTCCCTCTCCTCTGACCGCCTGTGTCATTCATCCTTCTCCTTCTGTATGTGGTATATTAGGGTTCATGCACACAGGGATAATAAAATACTGATATCGATATACGATCTTGTTGGCAGAAAGATTGTGTGTAACATATGTAATGTTCTGTAAAGTGCTTCTACTGATAGGTGTTTATAAAATGTTCACATCCATGAAATTCTTCCAGCCAAGTTTCCAGTCCCAAAATGTATCTGTGACAGTAATGAGGTCTGGGCACCCCAGTACTAATTAGGAAGCCCGGGTTGCTGGAACAAGCCCCTTCTGGATATGAACAAATCAGATAGGGATTAAACATACAGTTGTGTGAAAAAGTGTTGGCCCCCTTCCTGATTTGTCATTGTTTTGCACGTTTGTCACACTTTAATGTTTCACATCATCAAACAAATGTAAATATTAGTCAAAGATAACACAAGTAAACACAACATGCACTTTTTAAAGGAAGGTTTTTATTATTAAAATCCAAACCCACATGGCCCTGTGTGAAAAAGTGTTTTTTACACCTGGTTCGGTTCAGGTTCGAACTTTAGAACATGAAAAAAGTTCAAACTCGAACTTAGAACTCAATGAAAGTCCTCCTTTTGATGCCTTATATGCAAGTCATTGGCCATAACACCGGTATGGAGATTTGGGTACTGCCCTGGGGGACATGTATCAATGAAAAAAAACACTTTAAAAAAAATACAGTTTTTAAAGGAGCAGTGATTTTAACACCGCTTAAGCGCTTGCTGACCAGGTGTTTACACCCCCTTTCTGGCGAGGCAATTTTTCAGTGTTCAGCGCTGCGGTACTTTGACTGACATTTATTCCGTCATGCAGCGCTGTACTGGGGACACATAGAGCTTTTTTTTGGTGGTATTTAATCACCACTGGGGTTTTTATTTTTTACTATATTGAGGAAAAATTACAGAAATTTTTTTGGGGAAAAAAATTACATTATGTTAGGAAACAATTATTATTACCCAATTTTTTGGTAAAATATAAAAGACGGGGTCACGTCGGGTAAATAGACACAAAACATGTCAAGCTTTAAAATTGTGTGCACCCGCGAAATCGCAGGAAAACTACCATACCCAAAATTAACCACAGGCGACGCTTTAAAAGCTTTTACCGCTCATCAGTTTAGTGTTACCAGTGATTGATGGCCTTAGAATGATTGCTCCCACTCTCTCATGTGCAGCGTAATGGGCGCAATTGTCGTTTTCGCACGTATGCGCACCCAACGCATGTTTGCATGCGTGTATGTATGGGTGGGGGCTTTAAAAACAATGTTTGTGGGTTTTTTTCTTTTTTATGTGTGACTTGAAAAATTTTTTGGAAACTAATTTTTTTGTTTCCGCAAACAAAACCCCCTATGTGATAGCAAAAGAAGTGACAGGTCCTCTTTATGGAGACATCAGGGGTCTCCAAGACCCATGTCACCTAGGACCCCCCTGAAGAAGCTGATGAAGCAGAGATCTGCTTCATCAGCTTCTCAAGCTGGAGAGTGACACGAGAATGCGGAAGTGATGTAATATACATCACTTCCGCATTCTGACAACAGAGAGGGGACCGGAGGGAGATTGTGTACCGACCTCCCTCTGATCCCTTGTCACAGAGCCACTATGCTGGTCCCGGGCTTGCACCATGCATATAGCGGAGTCCGGGACCAGCGTGACAGTGGGGGGGGGACACACAGAGCGGCACCCCATACAAGCGATCCGCCGGCTATAGCTTGTATGTTGACAGGCATCACTGCCTGTTTTAAAATTTTGGGACTTTCCC